TTAATGTTAAATGCCAAACCATTCAATCTCTGTGGTTAAAAAATGTATAAAGTTAACATATTGAGTGTGGTAAAACATTTATTTTTGTGGTAAAAAATTTATTGTGGTAAAAAATGATACAAAATCCCATGAATCTCAATGTCTGAAATGTGTACTATCAAAGAATTCCAGTACAAGGTTTACTAGTAGTTTTATATCATATGTAATTCATCCAGTAAACAATGATTTTTGTTTAGGAATCATTTGGATTTATTATGGAAATTCATGAGACTTCTTGACAAAAAAAAAAGCATATGAGCAAGGTTAAGAGTAGGGGTAAAGAAGATAAACCCAAAATGTCTCATGTATTTCTTTTTTTTTTTTAAGAAATAAATATTTCCAAGTAGAATCCCTTCTATATTAATTTTTTACTGAATTTATTCATTAGAAAAATATGAAACAATCACCAGTATCCCTTTTAAGAATGTACCACAATAACAAAGTCTTCTTGATGCCATTTGGTCCATAACTTTAACCCAGTATCCTGAATAAGAATTACCATGACATAGGGGGTTTCTGAGTGTTCCACACATGTTGCCCCCTTTTTATTTTTGAACATGATATAATTGAGAGTCTACTACACCCAAGACAATGTTATTTTTTTCAGGTTTGCCAGGCATATGAGGGTTAGGAACATATCCATTCTCTCAAAAGTGTGTGCCTTTTTTGGAGTTATGGTTTCTTGTTTTGGCTCATATATTAGCTTGACACAACATTTATGATCAGTAATGCTTTTTCAAACAGCACATGTGCCCAGGAAGACTCTGGGAAAATTTTTGAGTATTGTACTGAATAAATGTTTTACCACACTCAATATGTTAACTTTATACATTTGATATTTCCAACATGTCTAATTCACCATTTCCTCTGAGCAAGGATAATGTCAATTTTGGTCACACAAATTTTCAAAAACAGTATTTTTTTATTTACTATGATTTTTATCTTCTATAACTTTGGTTTTAGCTTCCACTTCAGTGTTAATTTGGGACCCAAGTTGGCAGTAGATAACTAAGGAAGGCTTAGGAGAACTTTCTCCTAAGGGAATGAAAACTAAAAAGCATAGGGTTGGTGTAGACCCAAAAGTGTCAAAATGAAACTAAGTATCAAAACAAAAATTTATATCCAAACCAGAATTCAGTCAATGAATTGGTCTGAAATCCAGCAAGACTCAGAAAGCAGAGAAATAGAAGAAATAGGAAGCCAGAACCATATAGAGCTGAAGACGGATACCTGAAGTCAAAGCAAGATATTAGCAAAGTGCAGTCAACACCGTCTAAGCCATCAGGAAATGTTTCCATCTGTGGACAGAAGCTAATCCCACCACAAAGAGAGACCAGTGATTAACCAGGATTCAAAGCAGAAACCGATGTTAAGATTTACTCTACTACACTAAGATACTTACAGTGGAATTTTGCTAATTCACTTATTTAACATTAAGTTAGGTAATGAAGACATAGCAATGAAGAACACAGATAAAATGTCCCTCACAAAGTTTACAAAAGCAACCTAGTTTTTATCCTTAATGAGATCAAGCTCCATTACCTGGCATCCTTATATTTGCTTTAATTAATTCTTGAACTTGTCTCATTATTTTTTCTTTTTTATCTTTTCCAGGTAAATGTTTTTCATATATTCCTTTTCCTTATTCCCAGATTCACTTCTGGAGCCATATTTGTTTTAACTTTTCACCCATTCATTTTTTAATATGTAATGATTCCCATAGTCAATTAAATTGAACTTGAATTCGGTATTTCTAGGCTCTAGAGAAGACATCAAAAGGTAAAAGGACAAGTCTCTCCATTCAAAGAGTTTTTATTTCTGCAGGAATTTGTATGTCCTCAAGAAACTGTCGGACTGGGATGAATTTAAGAATGCCCAAGAGAGGCATTAAGTGCTATGGTGGTGAAAAGGCTGATAACATAGTAAATTTTCCAAGTCCCCAGAACAGAATTGAAATCACTTTCAGTTGATAGGAATCAGGAAATGTATATAGAGGAAAACTAATGAATTTATTTTAAAAATTAAATTGGGCAAAATTTAATGAATAAATATTAAATGCAAGAGTAGAGAATGTCTGATTACTCATTTTATCCTTAATACCTAGAACCAGAGCCTGGAACATAAGAGTAATTTAAGTACTCAAGTATTTGTTGACGTACTTTTGAATGATTGGATTAAATGCTGAATGACTAGGAGCGCTTAAGTAATACTGAGATGAACAGAACAGGTATTTCCAAAGAAAAGAAACAGAGCAAAAACAAAAACAAAAAAAGAAGAAAATGGGAGCACGGAGTAAGCTAATTTCAATGAAATGAAGTTTTCACAGAAAAGACCTTATTGGAAAGGGTAAGTCAGGGGAGGAGAATATCCCAGGGCAAAATACCTCTAAAAACCAAAATCAGTCAAAGGGAGAAATAAAGTTTAAAACCCGTTTATTGTTTACAGACTGCAGTCCAGCATCATCTCTCTTCCATGCTCCATGTTAGGGCAGGAAGCAAGCAAGCAAGCCAGCCCCTCCCCTTAAGCTCTCAGGTTCAGACACGCCCTCAGTTGCCCAGGTAATTACCCATTGACATGGAAATGAACTTCTCTCCACCCCTGAGGATATGCAGATGTACTAAAGCCAGGCGAGATAATCTGGAAATGTTACAATTTTACCCACAGGCCACCCCTCCAGAAATCTCACTGGAGACTACACCCTCTTTAGTGATAGTTTTCTCATCTGATAAACAGTAAGTAGTGCTTTAGAGTGTTTTGTGGGAAATTAAGTAATGTATGTAATGCACTTAGCTTGATATCAGGCCCAGGGACACAGTGCTTGACTTAGCCAATAGAGGCAGACCTGTGCTGTGGGTGGGGTGGAAGGAGGGGTTTCTCTTTGCATTAATAAAGATGATTCATCATTTTCATCTAGTTGCAGGTAAAGTACTATGTGCAGAGCCACTTGCATTGTTTTGAATTACCATTTTGCTGCCCAGATTTCTCCATGCCTGGTTGTTAAATACTAACATGAATCATTTAACACCACTGACAACCTGTATTCCACAGAAATGCTAGATCATTTGTTATTGTCTTTCAATGTCTCGCATTTCTGTTTGCCCATCTATGTATACATCTATATATATCCATCTTTATAACATTTACTGCTGTATTCCATAAAGCATCTGCATATGACCATCATCATATTCCTTAAGTTGTTTTGGAGCAGAATAATTTTGAAATATATAAATAAATATTGTCTTAAATTTCATAACTGTAATACATTATCTTGGTAAAAACCCTTGTAACTCCTTCACATAGAAAACCAGGTATTTTACCTCAGTTTTAAAAATGAGAGAATGGATGTTCAAAGTGGGTTACATAACAAATACAACCCTTTGCTATGTCCTGATCACTGGAGATGTCATATAACTGTTGCTTCCACAGTACTTGCCTCTATTGGCCATATTCTAATCCGTTGTTGATCATCTGGTAGGGAATGTATAAAATTCAATCAATATGTGCAGTCTGAGGGAGTCAACTGTTTTGTCCAAACAGAAAACTCACTACCGTATCTTTGAATAGATTTAAAACTTGGCATGAAGTTGTATTGTCCAAATCTATGTTGTTCTCCTGTTGATTTGCTTGATTTAACACTCAACCTTATTAGCTTGCTGTTTTCCAGGGTGCTACACTGAGAAGCTTGCTGGGGAAGTAACAATCTTTGCCATTCATGAAGCACTTTGGTATCATAAGTCCAAACTCTTGTATCCAATTGATTTAATGGATCAGTGTACAAATACAGCACTATAATGTAGGACTTTAACACTTTGCTTCCAGTCCCCAAATGGGCAAATAGTCTGGATTTTAAGAAAGCAATTTTAAGAATTTCTGTTATAAAGCACATGCATAACTAGACAGGCATGGAATTTTACATACTGATTTGTCAGATCAGGGCAAACTGTGCATTAGCTTCAAACCTCAGGAAGGCCAAGGTGTGTACCCACTACCTGAATCTAGGAAAGCCAAATGCAACAAAATTCCTGGCTGTTCGTAAAAAGTTGCATATACTTCAGATTTGAAATTTTGACTCAACTTGTACTTTGGAGTGTATCTACACTATCCTTTTAGTTTACTTTATATGAAGTACAGTAGTTTCCATTTATAACAGCTACATATGACAGACAAGAAAGCACTTAAAGGAGATCTTAAAGCATATGTGCAAAAGACAGCACTAGACTGTTTTGTGTCTTTTGAATTTATCAGATGAACTAAGAAGTTTTCGCCATCTCTAATTTCTTCATCTCTGCTATGTTAGCCTGGTATTCCACTACATATAAAGTTTTTAGAAGAAAACAGATTTCATGAGTTTATGTCTGAATTTCCTTGTTAAATATCCTGGATGTATTGCAGATGAAAACAATTTCCATTATTTTTTAAATTGTACTTTGCAAAATAAAAATATAAAATTTTCCAGATTTATTTCTGAACACTCTAAACCTCAGGAATTTTATTGATATAAACCCACATAGATTAAACAATTGAAAGATTTGGGGTAAATAGGCACCAGTTGGCAGTAGATTTGGTCAAGAGAAAGCATTTCAACACATGTTCTGCCACAAAGCATTAGAGAGTCTTAAGTTAGAGCTTCAGAATTCTTTCTGAAAAGGACAAAAGAGAGACTTCCTGCCATTTCGTTTGGCTTCTGCATGTGGGACCAATATGGGCAATGCAAAGTCTAAACAGATGCAAATGGTGAAGGGAGGAGGCAAAGCCAGGCCTTGTTTTACACACTTCTCCTCATCCAGATGGAATTTAGGTCAGTCTCTCCTCGGAGCTTCCACAAGTGGACTTCCACAGAAGTTACAGCACGCTTGAACGGTTTATTTCACTGGTATTTGCTTATGGAAATTAAGGGGAGGGCCGGGAGGTGGGGGTAGCGGCCGTGGAGGAGGGGTTTGAGGCCGAGGGAGGCTCTGAGCACGGCGCAGCACACCAGCAACCTTGTCTGATGTGATCATTAACCTTTCTGGAAAACGCAGCTGGCGGTTCTCTGAGGTTATCATTAGAATGTGAGGAGAGCCACACAGATACCGCACAGGCGATTCAAAGATTGTTTGGTTTACTTGGAGAGTTATTGCTCCACTTTAGTGTGGCAGAAAAATGAGATTTCAACAATTCCTTTTTGTACTTTTAATTTTTATTATGTGTCTTCTTCTTATCAACGGACAGAGACCAGGTAGGACTTTGATACATTTGTATGGAGTGACTTGTTTTTGTTCCTGTTCGTGTCTGGTGGGGGGCTTCTGAGTATGTATATGTTTATGTTGACAATCATTTAGGTGCGCTTAGAGGTATTGGAGGTAAATGTGTAGGATTTCAGAAGTATGTTTTCTGTCCCATTAGGTCTGTTATTTGAATACTTTATCAAATAACTGGAGTTTAAAATGAGTAAAATATTTTACTGATGTTCTAAATTCAAAGAAAATTGATCCCAAAGCTGTTATATTGTCCTTATAAGTAAAAAATAAGACTATTTGGTCTATTCATTACAGAGGTAAAAAAACTTTGAGATCTTTAGATAAAATACAAAATCCAAAGCAGTTTATTAGAAAAGCATATTGCTGGCTGGGGTGGAGCAATGTTAACTGAATAAATCATAATGGCCAAATGCAGGTGAAATCTTAAAGCGGGTCTATAGCTGTTATTTCAAGCTATATACTTAGATGTGTCACTTAAAATATTAAGTGCAACTTTTAGTATTATTGTGCTTACAGAGCCAAAAATGTCGAAAGTATTTATGGTCAAGATAAATAATATTAATTTACTTGATAAATTTTTCAAGGATGGTATCAGTTATGTTCTTCATAAGCAACAGGAATTTAGTAAACAGTTATTCCAATGTGCTTTTACTTCAAAACCAAGTGTTTACGATTTCAAAGCACTGGCAAATAAAAAAAAAACTGGGAAGCTTTCTGACTCAAGACCAAGCAAACTCAAATTTAAATAGAAAGTCGATAATATTTACATCCAAATAGATTATTCAATTCATAATACAGTTCTCCATTTAGAACAGAAAATTGTGCAAAACTGGCTAAAAATCCACTCTGTGCCTTTTAGTTCATCAGAAATTTGATTCCTGAGGTTATTTCAAATGATGTGCCCTGGTCTGTCCTTTTACATAAATAAGAAAAAGTTCCAAATCAGCAATTCAGAAAGTGGCTGATCCTTTCTTACTGCTTACAGCAATTTCTATTCAAACCATTTCTACTTTCCTGAAATACAGAACACTTTGGACAATGTTCTTGTAAAATATTTGTGATTAGTTCACTACATAAGATAAAGTTTTAGGAGCACTTAGGGAGAAGTTGTGTAGACGGAGGAGGATGTTAATATTCACAGGAACTGTTAGGTATGCACCTCATGTTTTGCATCACATTGATTTTTTATATCACAGTTCATCTTAACAAATAACAAATAATCACAGTATAGCTTGGATCCAAAGTGTTTTCTTACATTCTCTAGACTAAACATTTAATTTTCTGAAAAATACTCCTAATATTTCTTTTTTTTTTCCTCAGCTAATTTGGCAATGAGAAGAAAATTACACAGACAGAACTGCCTTCAGAGGAGATGTATGCCTCTTCATTCACGAGTGCCCTTCCCCTGAGGTATTTCTGATAGAAAATAGCTTTATTATGTTGAGGCAATGTTTCAGATGAGATATACCAAAGAATGTTTATTCATATTTTGTAATACATGATAATGGCTTTAAGATGATGATGTCAGCTTAAGGGATGCATACTAACAAAAGAAACAGTGAAATGACATTATGTTTAGGAATTGCTTTAATAGTTTAATGGGACAGATGAGGAAAATGTAGGATAGTCTTGATAATTATTAATTCTGTGATAGTTTTATGAACATATTGTGTCTGTTCAACAATTTTCATAATTTTAAAAATCAGTCATCAGGAGAATGTAATTATGAATGTATCTTTAAACATGTGTTTTAGAAAACACTGAATCACTCCCTATGTCATCCAGAACAAGCACACTTCCCATTAAGATCACTGTGTGCTTAAAAGCAGTTGGATATATTTGTTCAACACCAACGTATGAATGATATACTAGCTTCAATACTTCATGGTTAATTTTTCCTGAAAATATTTCCTTTAATGTATGAAATCGACTTAGTATTAATGGCATGGCAGCCTTTCAGCCTTACTCACAGAAATGTTATTGATAGTTGTATCTTTAGGGATAAATTCTGAACAGAATTTTCCTCCTCCCTTTTTTTTATCCTCTCTGAAAAGCCAATGATTTTTTACCACCACCATCACCAGTGACACTGTTTCACTCAATTAATTACTTTTAAATACTGCCCGAGTTTGTTTCTTCATACCAAAAAATAACTTAGCATTTCACTGTAATTATTTTAAGTTGTTTATATAAAATATATCTTCCTTTAAGAAAAGCCATAGAAACATCCCTCAGGTAGTAGTTGCTAAATTAGTTTATTAGTTAGCCTGTAGACTGTAGGATTTATGGCACTATTCATTCAGAGGGAAGAATGATCTCAATGCCTAAAACATGCTTTTCAACTCTGATGAAAGCTCTATAGTAGGACACTAATTGAAAGAGCAATTCAGTAATAAGCACTGATCAAGAGGACTAAAACAAAAAGCCCAGCTCTCTATATCTGTATCTGTGACAAACTACTCTTCACAATCAAAACATGAAAAATAGGTTTGGGGGAGGAATCCAGAAAAATACAGTAAGAAATTCTTGAGAAGCCAATTAATAGGGCCTAACACATGACTTAAAAAGATTTTACATACTAAAAAATCCTTTGGTGTATGTTGATAGTGCATTTCAGTATCATTCCTATAAATAGAGATAAAACCTATGTCTAGAAGAGTGAAGAAATTCAAGATTTTCCCGGCACTCCTCCACAGATTAACAAAGAGGACAGGAGGCATTTCACAGTAGCAAGGGAATTCCTGCATATACAGAAAAAGACAGCTTACATTATGAAAATAAACACCCTTAGTTAGCCACAGGTTGTAATAAAAGTCCTTAGCAACAGATTATATGGGCTCTCTCCACAAACCACCTGCCATAAAAACTAGGGTTGCAAGCAAACAAGATAATGAAATTTGAATTATCAAAGTTAAGGAAGATTTTGACCTATAAACCAAATTTGTAAAACAAAAAGAAAATATAAACAAAGGCCATAAAAACAATTCAACAACAGCAATCTTTTACCAAATTAGGCAAATCATTTTAAAGAATTGCTCAAGTTAGAGCATCCATTTTCTCAGTGTTTAGACTAGTCCCATATTCCAACTACACTTCTCTAAAGAATGTGTAAAAGTCACATTTTGGAATCCAGATATAGATAAGAACAAATGCAAGATAAACATTAATTTACCATGATCTTGCTTAACCAGTATTATAATAACAAGTGCTACTTACAAATCTGATAATTCTCACTGTCCTAAATACTTGTGCATTTTTTAAATGTTCTGCAGCACAACACCTTGACAACTGAATAAAGGTACCATAGAACTAGGTAGAGGAATGCTAAAGCAGAACCTTCCTTTTGTTTCTCCCCGTTTTCTGCATGTTTTAGATCAAATTGCACATGGTTATTTGATTCAGTTAGAGTTAAGTAAGACTATAAAAGGATAGGTAAGTAAACAGTTGACTTTGGAAGCTTTCCTGAACCCTTTGCAGCGGTTTAGACTTTTAGCTCACTTAACAGGAATGCCTATTTCCTTGAATCTGTCCATTTTTCCAGTTCTTACATCCTCCTCAATGATCCTCAGTGAGATTTCCTAACCTGTACAATTGAGTTAAATAGACAGATCTCTGCTGTATAAAATTCATTTTCTTGATAGTGTTTTTTCTCACAGAAATATTTTGGTAACATATTTAGCCCTAAGTGAATTAGACTGGAGGAAAGTAAGAGAAAAAGGTATCAGGAAATCCAGGTTTGCAGGTTAGTGTGAGAGCTTTAGATTGGAAAATGAGGAAGGAGCTTTAGATCCTAATGATTTCCCCCTTCCAAAAGTAAAATCTCACCACCATCATCAATGCTTTTATTTATAAATGCATACTCTGGATAACCACATACTCTATTAGTACCTACTCTATCTAGCTTTTAAATATAATTCTGGCACATGTTCAAGGTGTAAAATGTTTTCTCACAGTATGGGAGAATATAAAGTCAAAAGTAAAAGTTTTCTACTTTATCCTATTGCCAATTTCCATTTCCCAGAGGTAATGGCTATGAAAAGATTTTGGGAAAATGTAGCTTTTAATACATTATTTTGAATTGTGAACAGCTGATACTCTCTTTATCACCCTTGATTACTATTGAAAATGTTAAGCGCCTCTGACTATTTTCTCTGCTGTATTCTGACCCTCTTAAAGTCATGAGCTTCTGATCCCCTTGACCAACCCTCTACCTTGCTTGCCTCCCAGCTCCTTCTGCAATGGCCCCACTGTCTTGACCCTTCTCATTCCATTCTGATTCTTTGGCATAACTGAAAATCAACTCTGTCTTCAGCATGGAATCTCCACTTGGTGGAGTCCTTCATCTCCAACTTTAGCAGGGCTGTCTGGAAAGAACTCTTCTGCTTACTTTTAGGTACCTCTGTTTCCCATTCAGCTATATTTCAAAACTTTAATGACCTTAGTTTCCTTAAACTTCTTAACCTCTTTTTCCAACTCACAGCAAGAGATAATTCCTCTTTTCAGAAAAAATGAGGATAATTAAGCTTCAAAATAAGATCCTTTCCTCAACCCATAAACATCTACTTCTGCCACACTTCTATTTTCCCTTTCTAGTCTTCATTAAGAGATCCCTCTCTTAGGTATGGTTTAATTTCTCTACACCTAACGAATCTTGATCCAGCAATCACTCTCTTCCCTGACATTTTCAATATGTCAAAATTGACCTATTTCATCTTTTAAAAAAGTAAAACAATGGTGCACCATTGATCACATGGTGTTTCTGGTGAGTAGCCAATGCCCTACTCTATGCAGCCAAATTTCTTCAAAAGATGGCTCTTTCCTTCCTCCCATCTGTTTGCAACACACTGCTCCCCACTGCATTCTGGAAAAGGTCACTAGTGACTTCTCAATCCAGTGAACACATTTTGGTCCTCATTTCAGTTATCCCACTGTAGGTCCAATGGTAGAATAGATTTTCTTTGGTTTCCACAACACCATGATCCCTTTTGACAATTTATCTCTGAAACAAATCACTATTCCTTTCTAGGACCTGCACAGGGAGGGTATCCAATTGCCTACTCAGGAACACATTAGTTGTCCTACAACACTTCAAGTTCATGTGTCAGTGTATATACAAATCTCTACCATGCCTTCTGCACTGCTTATTCCTTTAACTCAGTTCTGTATTCCAATATCATAGATGTCAGTAGGAAGGACTTCCCTGGTGATCCTTTATATAAGAAAGCAATACCAAAATATTTTTAAAAAGCAATATCCAAGACACCCTTATATTCCTTTTCATGATTTGTTTTTCCCCAAACACTTCCTGCCATCTGACATAACATGTATTACTTCAGCATCTGCCTCTTCATCAGAACGAAAGCTCCCTGAGAACATGTACTTTGCTTTGACTGCAGATACATGCCTAGTGACTATAGGAGGCTCTCTAGAAATATGTGACTGACACCCAAAAGTAAACTCTTCTGTTCCTGCCACTCATATATTTCTTATGTTCACAATTTGTAGAATAATTATAAAGATGTCATACATTAGATGTTTAATACATGTTACTGTCTTAATGTTTATTTCTGAGCATAGTGTCCTAATATTCATTTCTAGTTGGTTTCCCAGGCCTGTCACTTCCACCTTAAAATTTGTTTTTTAATTTGCTCCCTTCTTTCCATCTCTGTTACTACCAGTATCTCAGTCTCTGTTATATCTCCTCAACATGAATTCAGCACCTTAACTGATCTACTCCAGCCTCTAGTTCTGGTTCTAAAAAGTCCATTTTTTTGTTTTATCATTTGCTCTTTCTAAACTGCAAATCCAGTCATGTCACACCTTAATTAAGATGCTTAACTGTCCCTGGAGCCTTTAGGACAGTGAGAACTCCCATAATTTAACAAGCACCACCTTATAAAATGTACCTCACCAACATCACCTCTTCTTTTACCTCTTCCAGAGGAAATAAGAAAAAATTAAGACTGGACTCCTTGGATTAGAGCTGTGACTTCACAGCTCATCCCTGGTGATCATTGGTAATCACTCACCCTATGGGTCCCTCCACTTTCAGACCTGTGAAATGGTACTTACCTTATTATAACCATATCTAGCACATAGTAAGTGCTAAATAGATAACAGCTAAAATTAAAAGAAAAATACAGTCCAACATATGGTTCACTTCTAGGCCAAGTCACCTGTCTTGCCAATGGGTTTCAGCCCTAGGCAAATTCACTCTTGATTTGGCTAGACCGAGGAATAACAATGGAACACTCTTGGGGTGAAAAGATTTATACCCAACTTTATTCCCATAGTGGCAGGAATCCTGTCCACCTCAGAGCGAGTCTGCATGCAGCAAGCCAGTTTCTGCCTCTGGTCCTCTCTGCCCCCTCAGCTGTCTTAGACTCTGTCCTCAGCACTGCCACCACTCC